CTAGTCCTCCTCCTCCTCATCATCACCTCCTCCCTCCTCATCCCACCCCACCACCAACAGGGGGAAAAAACTTGCACACTCTGAGAGCTCAACTGTGCATGCACTTTTATTTGGTGCTTGTAGACGTTATGGGAAAGTTGTCTCTCTCCCTACATCTCTCTCCCTCTCCCCATCCCTCCCTCCCCTCCTTCTCTTCGTCTATCATGTGCTTGGGATATGCTCATGCTTTGCACAGAGCAGCCGAAGCACGACTAATGCAGGCAACTGAGTGTTAACGGCAATTTTAAAGTGATGCCCCCCCCACCAAATATTACGGCTGGGATATTTGTGGGGAACATACCACACCATGGTACACACGGAGCCAACTGAACGCCGCTGTTCTTCCCCTGCTTGGGACGCTTTATTATCGATTGCAGTGATTTGACTCACCTCGAGGAAGTAAGTGTAACTTTTGTGCCTGTTTTAATAGGGTGCGTAGAGGCAATCGTGTGCGTAAAGGTTTCCCGTGTGCGCAAAAGTTGAATATAAGGCTATTGATAAGTGTATTTGTTATATTAAAAGTTGATTATGACCGACGATTCATGGCGAGAGTTTACATTAGAAGGAAATGTGAAGTTTGTGACTGTGAGTGTTTCCTCACACTTTGGAATGAGGAGGCACTGATTAGACTTTTTGGCACCTTTTAGAAGCAACTGCACTCCAACTGACCGGTAGCTTATCAAAGTCTGCCTCAGGCTCAGGTGTATATATATATAATATATAAGAACATCTGTTTATATATATTTTTATCATCAATGTGTTTTCGGGAGCGATGAGTTTGAGATTAGAAATGATACAAATTCATTTACGTTCAGAAAAACGTCAGCATTTTTATTCTTCCGGAAACGAGAGGAAATGTGCTCAAACAAAAGTAGAAAGTTCGGTTCACATTGCATGAATAGGGTCAATAAAATCGCCACACAATGTATTGAATACACACCGTTCATTGTACTGTTCATCCATGCGTTATTACGCACGAAAGCCTCGTTTGTTCAAATAATATAGCTAATAATACGCATAGAATCGCGCCCTTCTGGTGTTTTTTGGCTCCTCAGCATTGTAACACTAACCCTAATGGAAATGCAGCTTATTATAATTTCTAGAGGATCAGCAGGTTGTAACTTTCAAAAATGATGTGCTGTGATTAAACCATGGCCTCTGTGTGGGAGGCCTATTCTGAAGCCTCATTTACCCTAATGAGGTTTGCTTTATACTGTTGATCTTAATGATATCAAGTTGGCCTTACAGTTCAGTATTCACCAGCTCCATATCAGGGGGACAGCCTGATTGTGGATGTGTAGAAATTGGCACACGAGAAAAAAAGAGCTGAACAGTATATGCGTAAATTTGTGAATTTGGAATATTTTCCATAGTGTAAGTGACATTTGGACTAATTATTGTGTCACATGTTGCAGGTGGAATATGTTAATTAGAAAGGGATGAGTGAGACAAATAAATAATAATACAATAGCTGTGGCTGAACATTTGAGGGACAAAGTGCTGTTTAAAGTAAGAGATCCCTTATTGAAATGCACAGGCCTTGTGACTCATGTTTGCTCATTAAAACACCTCTGATTTGCCCCTCCCATCGACAAGTAAACTTGAGAGCGAGATCTAAAAATTGTAGCAAGTGAATGCGACCCCTGCAGAGAAAAAAAGAAGCTGATGATGCCATTGACAAATAATACGGTGTTAATTTATCACCACCTGATAGTTCAATTCTCCTGTCACACACGCGTGCAGACACACACACACACACACACACACACACACACACACACACACACACACACATACACACATGCTCTCTCACACATGCAGGCACACACTAATTGAGTCGATTACTGTCAGAGGCTAACTTTCTTTCCTGAATTAGGGGTGTTTTATGGTCCAAATAGAATCAAAGTTGTGCACAAGGTACCATAAAAGGAGTCACTATCCTGCAGTTGCATGCTCCTGCGCATGATCCATCACATGTTCCACTGCTTGTTATTGTTGACCCACTTGCAAAGATCCTATACATTAACCCATTTGTGCTAAGCTATCGGTTAACTGCTTTCATTTCTGTGGAAAAGTGAGCGAGTTCACTCACGCTCGTACAGGGTGAAGCGCTTGGGCTTTAATTCGCGTGAGGCGACATCGCCAGGCTACCTGAATACCATTGTAGTCTACCCTTCGGATGCGACGATGACAAAAAAAACACACGGGGTTAGTAAAGAATTTGATGCAAAACCGAGTAGTAAGCGAGAGAAATTTAACTTACACAGTGGTACCTCTTATGTGAGAAGGAACGCAATGAGCGAGCGAGTAGCGTGTTATTGCGAATAGAAAAGGCAGCCTGCGCAGGAGACAGAAGACGCTGGCGCTCTGGAAGCTCCGGGATGCTCTAATAGAGTTGTTTCATTTTTATTGTCTAGTAGATACCATATCTGATCGCACCTTCCATTAACAGCGTTTGAATTGCTCTCTTTCTGTGTAAAAAAACATATGGTTTCCCTTACATCCATTTTCATCCCCGTGTGAGTGTGAGAGTGCGTGCAGACTGCTCGGTGCACGGCGGACTTATTCCAGCGCGCTTACTGTAATGGATGGAGATTGTGCATAGATAGCAGGGTGCATTTGCGATTTTTTTTTCATGACATCACCGCAGTTACATTGTCGTGGTCCGAGGCCTTTGACCTCACCGGGGTGGTCCATATTTTGGCCACCCCCAGCCCCCCTATCGTTTGGGGATGGCCCTTATTCCCCCACTCTTTTCAGACCGACCGACCATGCAGCCCGCAGAACGGACCCTTTGGCTCAGAGTCATCGGCTTTATCTCTCCTTAAGTAAATGCTGGATGTGAACGGACAATTTAACAATCTTTGGCCAAAAAACAACCTCCAGTCTTCATAATCCGAAACATTCGCGTCGTAATTCCCTGTGCCTTTATTGCACTTTCCACAGGAAAACGGATTTCCCCCCATCTCTACCGTGTTTCTTCTCCGCCGGCCTCACAGGATATCTATTGCTGCTACCACAACGACTTAATAGAGGCGAAAGAGCCTTTTGTGGGATTGGAGCTATTTGCATTGCAAATTAGGGCCCATGTGCAAGGATGACTGCACTTTACCCGCGATTTTCAAGGCCTTCTTCAACTCAGTAATATTGGGTGATGTCAAGCGAATATGACATTAACATTGGGATTATATATCATTTTTTCGAAGAATTGCTCTCTTTTTACGCCGAGTGTATAACACTCCGGGCTGCGCAATAGTGGCCCTCGATGGCAAAAGGGGAATATAAGGAATATAATACACAATGTGACTTGAAAAAAGGACACTGATTACTTTTGCTAAACACATTTGAGTTCGGAGAGCTGGAAACTTGGAGACCAGAAGAGGAAATGTACATGTGGATTATTGCTGAAGATTGGGAAGTGGGTTGTTATCTTTGGTTATCTAGCTGTATGAGTGTTCTGCTCGTCATAAAGCTAGATAACCGAAAGTAAAAACTACTTCCAGACTCGTCGAGGACTTGTGGAGGACTCATGACATATTATTGCATTTTCCCATGGACCAGGTGTTATTCATAAATTACAATAATCTTGAGATTATGTTTGCCTTTCCCCCCACAATGTACATACATTTATTTATTTTATATTTTCAACAGTATGGACAGCCTTGTTTTAGTATTTTCTTTAATTTGATGATTCACTTCTTTCAGGGAGCATAATGTCATTGCTGCGCGCTCACCTATCCAGATTTAAACATGTACACACACACACACACACACACACACACACACACACTCTCTCTCTCTCTCTCTCTCTCTCTCTCTCTCTCTCTCTCTCTCTCTCTCACACACACACACACACACACACACACACACACACACACTCAACTTCCCTTCAGGCCTGATATTGCATGTTAAATATATAGCCTATGTGATCCTTTACCATAGGGTATGATTTAAATGTTATTTCATTCGAATGAAATTTCAATTTATAGGCTCATCTTCAGCATTTCGTGGGAATGAAAGAGTGACATTTATGCCTTCTGGCGCAACCCACGTGTGCTTCTTATTTCAGCATGATCAAGTCCGGCCAGGAAACGGCGCTGGCATCCCAAACAGTAATAATTAGGACGTATACTGAACTGACAAAAATGGAGAGGGAGAGATGTGGGGGAGTGGGCTTAGGAGAAGGAGGGAGGTGGCAGTAGAGAGGGGAGAGGAGGGGGGAAGGAGTGAGGGGATTGGGGAAATGTGTGTGGGGGGGTCGGGCCTGCTTAATTGATTCCGTTAACCGCAGTGCAGGAGATGTGAACGACTGGACGATCCCATTCCCACGCTCGGTGGGGCAAGTGGCAATGCCATGCCCAGGCCCAATATGACAGACAGCGCCGTGAGGGCCTGGAGGGGCTGGGAGGGGGGAGGGGGGCCGACAGGGGTCATGAAAAGACGTCAAGTGCACCAGACTCATCTGCATCCCCAAAGAAAGAGGCGACGTTTCCCAGCCCCAGCAGACGCGGCGCTCCTAAAGTTGGAGTAGTAACGGTTTTGAATGCGTAATGTCTCGCCAATTGTACTGATAATGAGGACTTTGGGTCATTATCCTAAAACTATGCGGGTGTATGAATTTGAAAGGGATGTGCTGCAAGTATGGAATCCTTCATGGCCCCATTTCAGCGCTCGGATCTCGTTGTTGTACTTCTCCTGAGAATTAGTAATAGCGCAGATGATGTCTCATAAAGAAGTCTGGGGTATTTCAATAGGTGACGTTTATGTGCATTGTTTGTATTTGAACTTGGCCGTGAATGGATTTGCGATATGAAGCTTTCTGGAAGAAAATTTGTCAGAAGCATATGCAATTTCCAGAAACATATATTATGTGGTAAAAAAACATATAAGTGGAATATTGGTAGATCCGTGCTTTAAGGATAAATCCAACACTTACATATTATGACATATATTTCAATGAGTCATAGGACATATGGCAGGTCTCAGATATAAAAATAATATACAGGAATACAATTTATGTATTTTTTTAATTAATGGTTTATTTCAGCACTTATGGCTTAGTTGCAATTATTTTATCATAAATAAATGTTTTTCATCCCAACCCCACACAACTTGAGGTGGCTGTTAAGCACTTGATTGTTGCATCCGCAGATGATAGGCTGTTTCCGGCGTAGACCACGTGTTTGAAACATGCCTGGTGAGAATTAACATCCATCCACGTTGATCGTAACCTTGTTTAAGTTGTGTATGTCTTTACATTTTCAGGTTTAAAAATATCTGATTAAGTCATATAGTTCAAGTTTAGCGTATGTTCAGAAATCTGTGACACTGGCTTTTTTTTTTTTTTGCAACAGAGGATTATTCAGTGCAGCGTTAAACAGAGCCACAGTGGCTGAATT